AAGCTTACCAGGTCACTGAAGACTGAATTTCTTGAAGGGGCAATAGAGGTGGAATGACCACGAGGCAAACCTAACCACAAGGGGGCACTCAGGAGGTAGTAAGTTGCCCCCATAGTACAACTGGCATAGTCAACAGGCTCCAAAAGCCCTTCCCATCAAAGAGGAACAGGGGAAGCACTTCAAAGAGTGGGGGAGCTTCTACCCCTGTGGATTGCTGGGATACTTATGTTGCCAAGCCTCCTTGAGGGACTTGCTACCTCTGGCCTGATGGATGCAGCATCTCCTCAGATGTTGGTCTACAAGGACTTTATACCTTTGGAGCATTTATAAGACACTGACCCGGTGATCACTTCTTGCATTCACACTGATACAAAACCATACTCTACTGCAGTTGTACTGCAGACAGGAGAACATGAAGAGGAGATCCAAGTTGGGGTATCTAAGAATTTACCTTGGCCTGTTGTCATAGGACAGGACTGGAATGATTTTCAGGACCTGCTTGATGCTGCTACCCCAGCCTCACAAAGTCAAAGTGGGAGAATGCCTCAAATGATCTGGCATGCGTATTCTCCCTAGTAAAATTGGGCCTTGCAGAGGAGGTGTTTCTCAAGCCCCAGAAATCCTGACAACAGAGGTCAGAAACTGCATGATGGGGGGGCATATTTGGACCAGATTTAGGGAAGGGGAAGTCAAAGGATTACACTGGAGGATGACCCTGAGGAAGGCACCTCTGTGAATCATGACAAGGAAACAGAGGTCATAGAGTGATATTTATGCTGATATAGTGTTTGAACTTCTTGCTCCTGATATTTATGCTGATATAGTGTTTGAACAACAAGTGGATGATACCCTGAGGGAGCATTATTGTCAACAATCCATTTCAATGGTGAAGTCATCTGGGACCATCTAGCCAGGAACTACCCACACTTTGTTAGAAAAGAACCTTCTTTACCAGGATGTGCACACAAGGGAGGTACATGGCAGCCAGTTGTAGCATGGGAGCCACTTGCTTCTTCCCGAGCACCCCTCTGTGACCATCACATCTATTTCTCCTTCGTCTAAGCCCCTTTAAGAAACTCTGTCTCCAGTGACAGTCTAAACTCAATCCTGTAATCCACTCTTTACCAGTTCTCCTTGGGCTGACAACAAACCTTGTCAAAGACAGAACTATAAAGTCCAACAAAACCACAAAGATTTTCAGCTCATCTTCCTTTCTTTAACTCCTCCTCTTGGGCCTTCCTTGCAGAACCAGACTTGCTGCCTAGCTCTCGCTTCCTGAGCTTCCTCATCGTACTGCCCGGTTCCCTGCTTTTGACAGTCTTAACAGCAACCCCTCCCTGCAGCTCCCTGCTGTCTTTTCTATTGGAATCACCTGATTCCTCTCAAGTGTAATTGTAATCAACACTGGCTTAGCCCCAGGCTCTCCAGCCCACAGGCAAGCCAGCCTATTCATAGAATCATAGAAGATTAGGGTTGGAAGAGACCTCAGGAGGTCATATAGTCCAACGCCCTGCTCAAAGCAGGACCAACACCAACTAAATCATCCCAGCCAGGGCTTTGTCAAGCCGGGCCTTAAAAATCTCTAAGGATGGAGATTCCACCACCTCTCTAGGTAACCCATTCCAGTGCTTCACCACCCTCTTAGTGAAATAGTGTTTCCTAATATCCAAGCTAGACCTCCCCCACTGCAACTTGAGACCATTGCTCCTTGTTCTGTCATCTGCCACCACTGAGAACAGCCGAGCTCCATCCTCTTTGGAACCCCCTTTCAGGTAGCTGAAGACTGCTATCAAATCCCCCCTCACTCTTCTCTTCTTCAGACTAAACAAGCCCAGTTCCCTCAGCCTCTCCTCGTAAGTCATGTGCCCCAAACCCCTGATCATTTTCGTTGTCCTCCGCTGGACTCTCTCCAATTTGTCCACATCCTTTCTGTAGTGGGGGGCCCAAAACTGGACGCAATACTCCAGATGTGGCCTCACTAGTGCCGAATAGAGGGGAATAATCACTTCCCTCCATCTGCTGGCAATGCTTCTACTAATGCCTTCTTGGCAACAAGGGCACACTGCTGACTCATATCCAGCTTCTCATCCACTGTAATCCCCAGGACTTTTTCTGCAGAACTTCTGCTTAGCCAGTCGGTCCCCAGTCTGTAGTGGTGCATGGGATTCTTCTATCCTAAGTGCAGAACTCTGCACTTGTCCTTGTTGAACCTCATCAGATTTCTTTTGGCTCAATCCTCCAATTTGTCTAGGTTACTCTGGACCCTATCCCTACCCTCCAGCATATCTACCACTCCCCCCAGCTTAGTGTCATCCGCGAACTTGCTGAGGGTGCAATCCATCCCATCATCCAGATCATTAATAAAGATGTTGAGCAAAACCGGCCACAGGACCAACCCCTGGGACACTCCGCTTGATACCAGTTGCCAACTAGACATGGAGCCATTGATCACTACCCTTTGAGCCTGACAATCTAGCCAGCTTTCTATCCACCTTATAGTCCATTCATCCAATCCATACTTTTTTAACTTGCTGGCAAGAATACTGTGGGAGACCATATCAAAACCTTTGCTAAAGTCAAGATATATCACGTCCACTGCTTTCCCCATATCCACTGAGCCAATTATCTCATCATAGAAGGCAATCAGGTTGGTCAGGCATGACTTGCCCTTGGTGAATCCATGTTGACTGTTCCTGATCACCTTCCTCTCCTCCAAGTGCTTCAAAATGGTTTCCTTGAGGACCTGCTCTATGATTTTTCAGAGGACTGAGATGAGGCTGACCCGTCTGTAGTTTCCTGGGTTCTCCTTCTTCTTTCTAAATAGTCCTTAACCTGCTCTTTCACCACTGAGGGCTGCAGAAGGCCTGGCAGCCCTCAGTTTCAATTGTTATTTCAATTGTTACCCTTCCTCAAAGGGTTCTGATAGCTGGGGATAACTAATTTCTCCTTGAGCCTCCATAGGTCTCCCAGTGGCAGATTTGGCAGATTCTTAGGATGTGCTAAATAAGCCCATTTCCTGACTATACTAACAGGCCCCTTTCAGACCAGAGTGCCAATGTTTGTAGCTGCATCCACTAAGGGCACCGCAACAGACGACTGTCTTCTGACCTTGCACGCCTCTACACCTCTGGGGTCTATGCCAGATGAAGCTGGAATAAAGCCATATATTTCTTCCTGGATACTAAGTTTGTTTTAGCAAGGGCCTGATTTCCACTGACTGCAATAGTCTTTGGATCAGGCCCTGATGTTTTTTTTAAAAAAGCATATTTAATAATGTTCAACATCTTCCCTAGTAAATCTAACTTTGTGTATTTAACAAGATACTTGCAGAAAATTAAATATCACTAGACTAATAGAATCTGTAGGTTAGATAGTTTATATATTTCATTATATCACTTTTTTAATGAACACTGACAAATTAACACACAAGGATCACATATGCATTCTGAATGCATATTTAGCCACTTGAATGTTCAAAGCATTGTCTATACTCTCCTTTGTGTTTGTAGTGAGTGCCTCTGCATAAGAAGCAAGTGCTCTCTAGTTATCGCATACTGACATTCAGAGGCTTCTCTGATGTTTAGATAATGTCATTGTCGACCAGTGGCAGACAGCATCCTGTCCAGCCTTCCCTGTGGTAAGGAAAGATAAGCATCTTTAGCTGTCAAAAACCTTTTCTTCCCTCCTGTATGCAAAACTCACATTCCATTTGGGGTGGCTGAGAATGCGAGATATGTCCTTGGTTTAACGTGCTTTGCAGTTACTCCTCTCCAAAGTGCAGTCTAAAGCCAACTGCAGTAGCTCAGTGTATTAAGGGATTTGATCAGTGACCATGTTTTAATGGCCATCAGAATGATGGTGCAGATTTTTTTACTGTTATTATCCCCTGACACTGTGCATGCTTTGCATATGCAAGCACAAGGGGATGCACTAATGAACCCAGGGGCTTTAGAAAAGTGCAACACTGGCCAGAAACAAAGTATTTTGGATTTCATTTTGTTGTTGTTAGTCAGCTCACTTAATAGCAAAGGGAAGACGTGATAACCATGACTACCATTATTTTAATAACTTGTTACTTTAAATTGGAGATGATGGTCTAAGAGTTAATGGTTTTTAGTCACTCTGAATGTTAATGCCCATGCCTGTCAGAGTTTTGTACTTCAGTGAAATCTGTCTACATACTACACACTAACTTAGGCCCCAGTTGCTGGGAAAGAGTGCAGAGAGGGTGACCAGACGTCCCAATATTATCGGGACCATCTTGATATTAGGGGCTCTGTTTTATATAGGCAACTATTAACCCGCCACCCGCCTCCCCGGCCTGATTTTTCACACTTGCGTCAGTGTCTGGTCATCCAAGTGCAAAAGAGAGAATTTTCATCTGATCTGACATGTGGGAATGCATGTAGACCTGGGGACAGGACTGGAGGGGGCTGTGCATTGAAAACCCTCCTCCCATGCAGCATGGACTCCACATAAGACTTAAAACTAAGTTACTATTAATGTCTGGGTACAGCATCTCTGACTCCAAGTGGTCCGCTCAAAGCCTGCAGAGCAAGAGTCCCTCGAAGCATGACTCCACTGCAGCCAAATTTCCAGGGGATTAGAAAGAGGGTTGGGAGGGCCCCAGAGACAGTGTGGAAACACAGGGCTCAATTTTGCCACCTGCCAGAGCTCTCTTGGGTATGGAGGAAGGTAGGGGCTGTCTGAGATCTTATTGCAGCTCCCTGATCCTGTGACGCCTGGCCCAAGTATTCATTAAAGCAGCCGAGAAGCCACTATAACTTTCACCAGTGGTGTAAGGTCCATAAAGGACTGGGTCCCAAGGACCTGACTCTATGCCCATTGAAGTCAGTAGCAAAAGTCTGCAGGACCTAAATGGTTAATAATCTTCTTGACCAGATGTGCTGCCAATAGTGGATTTTACTTGAATTTTCTTCTGCCACAAAATACAGCAACCAAATTGTCATGAGACTTACTAGAAACAAACCACAGCTCACCTTCTATCTCCAGCGCATTCACACACCCATTTGTTCGCTCAGTCTAACAGCAAGTCCCATTTCTTCCATTATTTTGCCACCAGCAGCAAAAATCAGTCTGCAAAAAGAATAGGTGGAAAAGCACCAGAAGATGAACGCTTCAGGAGCTAGACGTTATTAATCTAGGTACAGCGGCATTTGACTATATCTGTCCACACAAATGTAGATCTCGTTTCGGAGGAGGTTGTTGTTTTAACCATTCAGAGATAGGATTCTTAAGCTGTTTTGTCTGAACACAAGTTGGTTTCGAATGTGCTTATGCTGCAGATGGCATAAACATAAATAACAGCAGGTAAACAAAATTGCAAATATCATTGGGTGTCCAGGGACTGAGAGGTGGAGGAGCACATGGAGAGAATCAATAATCACACTTCCTCAGCCTGTTAACAGATCAGATGGCAGGACAAGGCTCTCCAGGTATAATGGAGATCTAAAAATAACTGCGTCATTATATAACTCAGCAGCAGTCTCATTCTGTTTCTAAATATAGTCTGTGCAACAAAGGCCAGTCTGGTGATGTGTCGCCGGCTGATGCCAATTAATGGGATGACTCACACTGCTCAGCTAATAAAAATGAAATGTGTGTTTTGAAGGTACAATACAGGGACGGCTATATTTATAGGAAACATCTGAAAAAGACCCAAAATGAGACTGGCTGTTATAATCAATGAGGGAGAAATTGAAATCTAATGATTTCATAATGCAGGATAACATCACATTACATTCCTCTAGTCAGAACAGTTACAGAGATGCGAAGCTGCTATTAGTGAATGTTTAATGTCCTGTTCAAAGAGTTCTGTTGGGATTTGGTTATTGTACGTTGAGCTAGAGTTGGTGTTTTATAATAAATAACAATAATTAATAATAATCAATCTTACATTTCAGAGAATATCCTGAAATGCTTAACAAATTCTGGGGTCAAAGATGGGTCGAATTCTGCTGTTAGATACATATGCAAAACTCACACTTATGTCAATGGGAGTTGCATATACACCAGATGAATGTATATAATGTTTACATACATAACTGCATAAATAGGTGTGATATTGATGAAATTGCATTTATCATTCACTATTCACTTCTCCATCTGCCCCACTAATCCATCACTGCCAACATATGAAATGGGGAAACAAGTCGATATGAATTAACACATTTTTGCATGTGCATGAACATGCCTCAAATTCCATGATGGAACATGATTGGCCTGTTTGCCCAATTCACACCTGCTCCATGTGTTCAATACTTCTGTTTCACAACCCATGAATGATTATACACTCACTCGAACTCCACTCCCAGTCTTTCCACCCAGAAATGTGCACATTCCCCAAACTCAGCTCACTCCACACCTATCCCAATTTGTTCTGTGTGTACGTGTTCATTCTGTGCACACCCATTCATTGTGTGTATGTGTGTGTGCACATACTGAAACCACTCATTCCGCATACCCATTCCCACATCCCAGGTCCATCCATTTCACAGACATCTATACCACTTCCTGATTTGCTGCCTGTATGAATTTCTGCCATAGAGTAAGGTACCATTCCAAATGAGTATGAAAAGTTGTTTACCCAAATTTCAGGGGAAATTGAAGTAATTATTGTCAGACTTTAATTCAGCTAGGATACCAGAATTAATGGCCTTTGTAAAGCTCCCTGAGATTTTCTAATGCCCACACATGTCTTGTTTTACATCTCACCTGAATTATGGCTGGGCATCATGTTGTTTTACACAGTAATATGATATTGTTTCATTCATAAAGGGTGAAGATGATTGCAGGTTAAGTAGAACAAATTGAACTTTAGTAAACCCTGTGCACTGCTCTATCCATGTGGCCTCCTGCCTAACTCCCCCTGTTCCCTATTTTTCTGGTGTCTCTCAGTAACAATGCCTCTAGGGAACCTGTGACTCCAGTTCCACAGATCATGATACATCATCCCTATTTTACAAACATTTAATATAAATCTTAAAACAAATACATGATACCCACACCCCTACTCCGTGTCCCTTCAGCCAGAGTTTGCTAGCATATAGCTAAGTTAGTATCTGGTCTTTTCAAGAGACTCAGCTGGTTACATAGTCTTTGAGTTAACTGGTCTCCTCAACAGGTGAACACACCAGGATAGTTCTATCTCTGTCTCCCTGTTACCTGTATCTGAATCTAGCAAGCTATATGTATTCCCTCTCTGTGGGATTGGCCTCCAGATGGTTCTCTTTCTCCCTGTCCTGTAATGATCTCTGTGACAGTCTGTAGCCTTATGTTCATCCTTTTTACAAGACTATGATAAATTTTGTACAAAGTATGCCTTATGAGGTATTATTTGAAAACTCATAATCTGCTAACCATTATTGTCCTGGTAAAATATGTGTGGAAACATAGCATGTACAATTATAAAATTCTACTGTATAAGCCATGTTCCAAGTTTATGGAAACAGCTTCAGACTAGTTCCCCAGAGTCAAAAGGCTAGTCAGCACCTCAGCAAGGTGTTAGCATAATCAAAGGGACTATCTCCTGTTTAAGCAGCCATTCTTTAGCAGGAAAAAGGATGTGATCAAGAAATGTACATCTTAGCAATAGAACAGCTGGAAGTTCCCATGCAACAGACTTGCGGTTGGAAAAAAAGATATAAAAATGAGGAACATAGGTCCCAAATCACCTCTCTTCCCTCATCTCTACTCACAACATCTACAATGCCTGAAAAGCAAGGAAAGGAGCATTGGACTGTGGGGAGAGGTCCTGACTGAAACACTGCTGTAAGCATGTGGTGAGAGAAAGTTTTTTTCTTTAAATTCACTTAGCTTGTTAAATTAGGTAATAATCTGTGTTTTACCTTTTGTGCCTCATTACTTGTAATCATTTAATCTATCTTTCCGTAGTTAATAAACTTGTTTTATTGTTTTATCTAAACCAGTGTGTTTGGATTGAAGCATTTGGGAAACTCCATTTGAGATAACAGGATTTGTGCATATCATTTTCGATTAATAAAATGACAGACTTTCTATGAGATTGTATTGTCCAAGAGGGTGCTGGGTAGCACAAGATGCACATTTCTGGGGATAAGTCTGGGATTGGCAATTTGCTGGTGTCACTCTCCAATATAATTCAGGAGTGGCTGGCAAAAAGCATTCTCATAACTCAGCTGGGAGTAATCTACATGCTAGAGGCTATGTGTGAGCAGGCCAGGAGTGGTTGTTCTCTCAGTGAAGCAGAATAAAAGGTATCCCTGGTTGGAGAATTGAGGGGACACAGCTGTTCAGCAGTCCAGATTGTACCCTGGGGAATGTCACAATCTCTGTAGGCGCTCTCTGTCTCTGTCTCTGTCTCTCTCTCTACTGGATTTTAAGTATTTCCTGTTCCTTTGGATCACTTGTCCCTCTTGCGTAGTCAAATTGTAAGACCAGGGGCCTTCTAGACCCATCATTAGTTCACTCTTTCTGGTATCCTGCCAATAACAGTCCCTCCAGAGAACATGACTTCAGTTCCACTGATCATGTTGCAGACATCACATCATTGAAACAAACTGATGACTTAAAAGAAGGAAGAAAAAACCCTTAGTGAATATTTAATTTCCAAGGGAGGAAGAATTTGTGGTTCAGGCATGTAACTGGGACTCTGGATACCTAAATTCTATTCCCAACTCTGCCTACGACTTCCTGTGAGACCTTACGCAAGTCACTGTGACAGTTTCCTATCAGAGAAAATGGGATTGTACTTCCCTACCTCACAGGGATGTTCAAGAATAAGTTCATTAAAGTTTGTGAGGTGCTCAGATCCTGCAGCTATGGTGACCATATAAACACCTAGATGGAAACGTAAAAGGAATATAATGACAAACTCTGAAACATAAGCCTTGACTTAGCTATTAGTATATATTTTTAAATTTATCCTCCTTTTTTTAAATAAAGATATTGTTCAAATGTGTTCTAAGCAGAGGAACTCAAAATGATATGCACCAGTAGTTCAGGAATAAATAATTAATCTCCTTCTTACATCATTACATGGTATTCTGATGGGAAAGTCTTAGCAGGTTATCAAGCACCATGTAGGAGATATTTTTGTTCTAACTCTTTTGAATAACCCATCTTACTTCTTGCAATCTTTTCTGCTTGACACAGCCTGCTGTTCATCTTGCACCTCCAACAGTCTGCAGGTTAGTAAATCCTAATCTAAACAATTTAGCTGAGTTCCTGGCCAAAAAAACCACTCCTCCCTCTTTTCCCTTGAGGTGCAGAACTCTGATTCAGCTGTTTTCCTTTGACAGATTTAAAGTTATAAAAAATTTATTTTTGCTTTTAAACACAAATCCTTTGCAACAGATTGGACATGAAGGGATAACCTTCACAGCTAGGAGTAGCGTGTTTATCAGCAGAATTGCAAGGCAATATTCAGCTTGGGCAGGAAACCAAAAGTTTGATCTTGGTTGTATGGGTAAGCTTAAAACTTTTAAACCAAGGCAACTCCAGGAGAAGCTTGAAATATGCTCCAGTATAGAAACGTGTCAAGATTATCTGATAGTAATGATTCAGTACTTATGCATCATGTATTGAGCCACCTACCACCACAGGCCTCTCATTGTCCTCGTTGCTTCTGTTCTGTCTGCAACGATAAGATTAGATCATGGAGCTGTTGCCTAATGATGCAGTTTATATGATAGCTACATCCAGCTTCCAGTCTGCTAAACAGCTTGCAAGATCATGGAACTCTCACAACTTTGATTCTTCAAGCTTCTAAAACTGTGTGAACAGCAGGAATCCAACATCTATCTGGTATGTATTATACTACTTACTGCTTGCTACAGCAGTGTGCATGTTTAGGATATGTACCTTTTTTTTTTTTGCTACATGACTAAAGCTGGGCAAATGGTCCATAATAGTAATAATTGTGCAAACATTTGTTCCAATGAAAATGACACATTTTTCTTAAGTGCATTCATGGCACTTTTTATTTATGTCCAACTGACAATTGGATGAGATTTTCTATTTATTTATTATTATTTTTATTTGCAAAACTGTTCAGAAGACAAATGTCTAATGGACTGCAAATGTGTTTGCATAAAACTTCATGCTCAGAGCGCTCACACAGTTATTTTGAAAACTCTGACTACCCAGCTTCCTGTTTATAAACATTTTAAACATCCCATCAAGGAGTCATCCTGCTCCTTATGTAGCTCCCAAGGGAGTGCACTTTGTTCTACCAAAGCTTTAAATATATTACACAATCTAACCCAAAGCTGGGCAGGATTGAATAATGAACAAATCAATAAAACACAGTCTGTTTGTAGATAATTTGCCAACAGAAAAAAGGGTCAATAAATTATTTGCTGCAAATAGTTCCCCCATTACTATACATGCCATCATGTTGATTACTTAGATCATCTTATATAAAAGACATCCAGTGTGAAATGTGACTCAATGTAACATATTGTGAACGTATCATAGCTGTTACAGAAGAGCTGTTGGAGTAGGCGGAAGAAAGGCAATACATTGTCCTAAAATAATATACTCCTGCTTCTGTGGGTTCAGAAGGTTTTGTTTGATTAACTGAAAGGAAAGATAGTCTTGTGGTTAAGGCACAGGATTGGGTGTCAGTTCAGTATTTACAAGAACTCGCTGGAATTGACTGATTCTTTCATGTCATTATACACACAGTTAGGCCAACATCAGCAGTTCCAAGAATCTAAAAACTGTTTCAAATCAAGCTGCAGCTGAACTATGTGAAAGTGTGAATATACCCATTGTAACACCCTCTCACTCCCAGCTAAGGATCCACAAAGGCTCCTATCTCTGCTGAAGTACATCTCAGGTTCAGTAATCACTGCTAAACCAGCCGCCGTCTTCCAGAACCTCCTGGTTGACCCAGAGAAGTCCAGAGCATGAGTTTAATACACCAATGATGATGTGGAGAATCTGTCTATCTAGAGCTTATGAATTCTATTTGGTATTGGGGACTCACTGTGCATCTGGGTTAGACTACAAACTGCATTTTGATTGGAAGCCTGGTCTTTGCCATCTTTGCTGTCTTTTGCCTCTATATTAAAACCCACATGAGGATAAGAGGAAAAATTCTCTCACCTGGCTTATATATTCCATTTAAATAGAACTTATCTGGACAAAAAGATATCTACACCCTGAAGCCAACCAGCTTTTCAAGCCTGAACTCTAGGGGGATGGTAACTAAGCAACAGATCACCTGGAAGAAGATTTTGATCGTCTGAGGAAACTGAAGAGGGAGTCATCTGACAAAGGGAGCTGGAGGTTATAAAAAAAGGGTCTGTCACTACCCAAAAGAAGTGAGTAGACTCCATATTCTGGGGAGAAGCTATGTGTAGGATGGTAAGGGGAAAGAAGGCTCCTGGACTCTTAGGACTTTAGCCTAAACCCCAAAAAGCTCTCTAGGATGGTGAGGAACCTCAGGCAGGGAAACATCTATTTTGTGCCTCCTGAGTAAGTTAAACTGTAACCCTGAAGGCTCACACCTTCAGCTGGATTCTGGCAGAAGGTGTGTTTAAACTATAGGGGGAGTCTGAGGAATGAGCATTGGTTCCAGGGCTGGGTAGGGGACCATGAGGTCACATATCTGAGGATTGTGTGTTAGAGGGTCTGTGCTCAAAGAGTGTAGGGACCCCAAAACTGGACAGTGCCTGGCCTCTGTTCATATGCTGGAGGTTTAAAACACCTGGGGATCCAGAGGCTTTCTCTTACTGTAATCTAGTGGGTTGCTGGCAAGGGGAGCTTGATTGGCTCTGTGACACATGGGTCCTAACACAGCAGTCTGGAGAGCATCCAAGAGTGTGTGTGACACAAGCAGCCTGGCAGAACCAGCATCAAGAGTGCCGCCCCTTCCATTGACATGTCTCCTATAGAGGCAATCAAAACTGGTGCTATGAAAGTGTGGAGGAAGGGTAGTATGGAGGGATGAAGGATGAAGGTGGGAAAGAGAATGCAGGATTAGCTGGGAAGCAGGTAGGAGCTCTCCCAAAGGGTCTGCATAATCACAAACAATTTATCCCACCTCAACCGCCAAACCTTATGGTTTGCTCATCACTAAAACTCTTGTGGAATTGAAGCCTCCCAGCTATTACCTTTAAACTTACCTGGGCCTCCCTGCTAATGCTTCCTGTTGGGTTTTCTGTCTGTACTATCTGCTAATGGGGGTTGTGGATTCTGAGGTGACATGGTGCAGGTTTAAGGGTAGTGAATGGTGGGGGAGGAGATATGATACAGCTTCCTCTCGTTCTTTTATCGTCAAACTTTGAATTTGCACTCCAGCTTTTTTCTTGGCTGTTTTGATTTTGAAAACCAACTCTCTTCTCTCAGTTCTCCACCCAGCATACCCCCTATACAGTCACACTCTCTCTTTTTTATTTGTTTGCTACTGACATGACCTCCTTCGCTCATCCCTGATCTCAGTATGACAGGGAGCATTGTTGAACTCATGGTGAGATTCAGTTCACTATTCAGTGATGCAGTGAACTAGCTTTGAACTTTGCATCTTCCCTCTGGCCTCCTGACTGTGTGACTCACTATTTTTGGTGAGGGGAGGGAGGAAGTAGTTTGCATCATCAGAAACTACAAATGTGCTTTCTGCAACCAAAATGTATACAGTATAGATAGGCTTGGAAGGATTAGATTTTTATCGATAAATGTCAATTTCACTGTGCACAGATACTGACAAAAAGAGATCATTGAAAACAAAGGAAGGAAAAATGTTGCCTGAGAACTTTAGAATTTGACTTAAGGATATTTACTCTGTATATTTTGACATGTGACATTGACAATTTGTATTTTTACTGGTCATAAAGCTTTAACTTTTTGAATTTCAATATCTACTGTCATTAAATAATTGTCTTACCAGCCCCCCTAATTCCCCTCAACAGTGAAAATTTAAGTCAATAAATATAAAAGCTTAAAATAAACATCAATATTTGTTGAATTTTTTTAAATTAACCTCTGCTAAGCCTAAGTATAGACTGGATTTTAAAATGCTTTAACCAACCCATCAAACCATTTGAAAGGCAAAAGAGGATCTTTTGCTTTACACATGAAGTTGCTAACCCAGCTCCTGATAATGTGACCATTCTGAATGTTGGGACCATTGAGTACCATTGATGATGATCTGAAAATGTACTGTCTTTTATATTTAAGAAGGTGGGGGTTTGACTAATGGCCATATTCTGACCTCACACCCATTTACATCTAAAATAAAATGATCAATTAATTATTATTTATTTATAATAAGGTAGTGCCTAGAAGCACCCGTCATGACT